ACCGAACTAAATGGATAGGACTTAAACGAAAATATGTTGGCATTTTGCGGGCTCTTAGCTTTCTTTACACTTAATTCAAATACATCAGAGTCCGGAATATATTGAAATGTTGAGTAATGATAATTTTCCAGAATGGGAAAAATGAACGAATTATACAACTTTTGTACTTTGGCCTGAGCAAATTTACCTCTAGCATGATTGAATGAAACATGGAAAAAAGGAGCAAACTTTTAATTTCTACCATCCACATCAAAACCAGCCCCGGTCCAACCGGGTGTTGCTGAACTTTTTTTTAGCACCGCCCCAATCCCCCTTCCTCGTCCATGGACATTGGTTTTCTTTGTTGATCTTCCCTCACTGTCTGTTGAAGATCGTTGTTGTTGGTTGTGGATGTTCACTAAAGTTGAATTTCCAGAACTTCCTTCCTTTGGTGCATTTGCAGATGATGCAATAGATGATTCGAGTGTATTAGGAATCACTGAGGCATCTTGGGTTGCATTGATCTGGGGAGTCCCAGCTGGACTCTGGTTCTAATATTGTACATCACACAACAAAGATAAATACTAGCTTAAAATGAAATAAATACTAGAAGATGAAAGGTGCATTCATAACACCAACCACCACAGAAGAAAAACAGGAATTAATTATGTAAACTAGTTATCACTACAAAATCATTGTAATTTTTTCATTTCCGTAGAAATGTCATGAGAGGAGGCGAGTTTGGCATCGAGTCTAGTCATATAATCATATCCCATATCAGAATTCAAATTATAAAATCAATGTGCACATCATTATATGACTGTAAACCACCGAAAAATTCTAAGAGGAATGTTTCACCAGGAAAAAGAAGGAAACTGGTGAAATGCTTAAACACTAATGCCACATTGTGCATCCATATATTCGACAAAAAAGGGAGGAACATCTTACATAGGGGATTGAAGTGGATGATCTGCTTGGATTTAAAGCCTCTAACCGCCTCTTTAGCTCCTCCAGTCTTGCAAACTGGCTACTATTACTTTCCTGAACCTGCAAAAAGTTTTTTTTTTTGTTTTCTTGGTGGTAACAGAACATAAGATCTGCGAAATACACAACTTATTTGTGGGAAAAAATAATGTAGATGACAGATACCAGATTATTTAGATCTTCACAGAGCTTCTGTTTTACAGCTTCCTCATCCTTCACAGCCTGTTTTGCGGCTTCATAATCCTGAAAATCAGCACACAATCATACGGAGAATAATCTGGCCAACTATGAATATGACTATATGGAAACATGGAAAGAGGAAGCAAAAGAAGGATTAGGGAGAGTACAATACAAACCTTGCGTGCTTGTTCTTCTTTCAGCTTGGCAGCATGTATTCTCTCAGTTGTCAATTCTATTTTCCTTCTCATGTGTTCAAGTGCTGAAACAGCATTCACACATTAGCAGCATACAAAATTGAAATTAGACTATTAAGTCGTAACAGACTCAGATTAAATAACAAAATTGGAGTATTTGCCAAGAAAAAGACCTGCTTTCTTAGGCCCAGCTGTGAGTTTCATCTCCATTGTAAGATTTGTCAATTCACGTTCAACATCACGAATCTTGGAATAATTTTCTTCAATATATCTGAAAGGCATACAAGAGAAGATTAAAAAAATCAGACAGAAAACTGTACATATATGTTTCAATTGCCTCATAGTCTGGTCCGTATATAACATTTCAATTGCCTCATAGTCTGGTTCACATATAACATTTCAATTGCCTCATAGTCTAATTCGTATCTAAGTATCTAGATTATATATATATGATTTAATAAAGGGCAACAAATGAAGCCTAAAACAAAATATGAAAACCGTTGAAGAGTCCTTTAGTTATTCAAATATAAGTCCCAGATTGCCAGAAGCAAGTACCAAGTAATATCATCTGAAAAAGTGAAAATTACCACAAGCCCACAACTAAAGATAAGTAAGCAGAAGGAAGAAACAGAGACTTCAAAATTTTTTACTTTCCCCCACTGATGCATTATGCAAACCGGACAACTGGTAAATCTTGACAGGCTTCATATAGTAGACACTAGACACACAGTAAACATAATGTTATGAATTAGATTGGCTTCATATAGTCATTCACTCAGTGGATTTAAAGCCATTTAGCCTTTGTTTCAACACTATAATTTATCAATCCTTTAGATATGTGCTTTAGCTAACAGTCCCTTCGAGGAGGTACATTGGTTTTTCCGCATACAGCACTTTGCAGTCATTTAATGATGATGTCAACTCCAACCATTGCTTCATTGACAACACCCTTTGTCTAACCATTGGAGATGTTTGTCAGATATGAGATCAAGCTTAACTATCAAAGTGGGATGAAGATTGACCTTCAATGTCTCTGGCAGTGTTTCTCCACTTGAGGAATAAGCCTAAGACACTCTGCCTTCACTAAATGCAAATTCATGCTACACTATTATTTTCGTAGAGTTTCACTCTGTGGTAGCCATTATATAATTTCAGGAAAAGAGAAGAGCAAATGGCACAGTAGAGGCTTTGAATGGAGGGATTTTAGCTCAAAAGTGGCCTAGAAGGCTAAAAATGGTTAGAATGTGTGATTATGATATTAAAGGTTCTAATAATATCTTATGGTGAATGAAACCATGGAATAGTCAATCTTTTAAGATGCAATGGATACAAGTGCTGCTTATTGATGATGAACTTAATAATGGCCTAAAAGTAGAGAGTTTGTGGCATTTATAAATCAATATATTCCTACCGTTAGCTCAAAAAATCTGTACTAGTTCTCAGCAGTCCATGTATGATACTCACAGGTGACTTACACTATGCAGAATTCATACAAGCTTTGCTTATTTATCTTTGAAAATGCCTTATACAAAATTCAGTTATTTTAGTTAATGAACTTACCTTATTGGCTCTCCATTTTGATAATTGCAACTGTTCAAAAGCTTGAAAGTACATGACAGACATATTGGTCCTTTGGTTGTTCATCAGACGGTGGTTTGATGTGAAAGGTTGTGATAGGCCTATTCCTTTAAGGTGCTAGTAGTAGAGAGAAAATCGCTCCAGACTTTTAAATGGGGACTAATACCCATTACCATAAAAAATATGGCCATATGGGAATATGATACAAATGACTTCATGAAGATTATCCAAATCTATCTCATACTATTGATTCCATACAGATAATCCAAGGATACAAGAACAAGCAACGCATGGAATAGCACTGAATAACTTAGTGCAATACAACACAAAATTAATTGAGAAGAAAGACAAATAGACAATGAATAGATCTCAGAGAAGGGACTAGAGGTAAGAAGTCATACTTACTTCCTCAAATGAAGTTTCTCTTCTTCAATTAGCTGAAACAAGGAACTCGAACGTCATAAACGTGTAAATGCTTCTGCTAGTAATTCTATCATTCTATACATATGAAATGAGAGAGAATGAGAGTGATAACCTTTTCGGTATAAGCGATGACGGGGGATTCTCTGGCGATGCCATCCGGACCAATGTCCGGCAGCAGAAGAGACTTGGCCGTAGCGCCAGAGTTGGGATCCGGATTGGTATTAGCAGCCATTTGAGAAGGAATTAGCGCAACTCCGGTGAGAAAAGTTATGATAAAGGCTACACGAAATCGGCGACCCAGGAAAAATGCGTCGTATACAGCCGCAGCACAGGCTGAGGGATCGGTCATTCCGATGATTTGTTCATTTCAGCCGCAGCACATGCCAAAGATTTTTTCCGATGTGTTAAAAAATTGTTTTATGTAGACCAATTTGTATTCCTGTTTGCATACAAATTCTTGGCATAAGTTTTGTCTTTACATTATTATTATTATTATTATTATTATTATTATTATTATTATTATTATTATTATTAGAGATAAGTAACAGTTAAATGTGTATTTATATGTTAGGTTAACAAAAGTGTTCTGTGTAAAACTTAAGTATAGATCTTATCATATTTTATATACAGAGTAACTTATTAAAATAAACAGTATTTTCTTGAAAAAAATCATTATTTATGAAAAGTGTCAAATTAGCTATGTCATATTACATTAGTACATATTTTCCAGTGTATAAAAAATACGAGGTATATTAAATAATTGCATTTTTTGTCACATGGGGTCAGGGGAGGTTGAGACTTGAGAGGAGTTTGGAGAAAACAGAGCTGCCCTCTGAAATTTCAAACTCCAGGCCTGGTATGGGAGTGAGTCGGAGACCACTTTCTCATATACATAATTACATGCACAAGTATTAAAGAATAACAATAAATGATGCTTGTTTTTTACACTTTTACCCATCTTTCTAAAAATGGACCTCTTTAAGTTAATAGGGAAAAAGTAAAAGTAAGGGTAAATTTGTTAATTTATTCTTATTCACATACCTAAAATTGAAAGTGAAAAATCATTTTGAGATAACCAAAACAGGAAATTTTGCAAATCAAATTGGGACGGACGGAGTATATCCTCTTTTAAATCTAGGCTAGTGAATGTGTGAGCTCTGCTAAAAATCTAGGCTATCTTTTTGTATATTTGGATAATGGGTTTTTCACAAAAACCTTGCTCTTGTTATTACTAGCAATTTTTTTTTTTGTAATATTAAACACATAGCAAGGCTACCATAGGTTATTGACAGACATTTTTGTGTGTTGCACGAACGTTTTGCTACATTCCTAATATGTTCAATGAAATCGGTTAATTTGTTTCTATATGTTTCTATATGAATGTTTCTACCATATGTTTCTATATGAATGTCATCTTCATTTGTGTACAATGTTTTTGCAGGGATCTTATCACTTCACTGTATATATTAATAAATATTGCAAGTCTGGTTAAAGTTTTAATTTTTTATATTTTTTATTTAAAATAAATTAAACAACGCAATCATAGAGGTTGAGACTTGAGACCCTTTTTATTGTTAAATAGATGTGTAGTTAATTTTATTTTGTTTCCTCAGAATATTGTTGTGTCTGTGGCTTTTAGAACACACTTTATAACACATGCACTATTGGCCTCCACAAACAGATACTTTAGTGTATGGATCAGACAATATAGGATCAGAAATAACTAGATAAGGTCAATTCTGGGATTGTTAGACAAAGCTTTTGATTTTTGAATATGCATCATAGCAATTGAGCACAATCACACAAACCAACCAGTTTCTTACAGATGAGCTTATGCACTTCGCATGGCCCCCCAAAAAATAAAAGACCATAATAATAACAAACACTTAAAACCAGTAGAGCACTAAAATTACAATCTATAGAAGCAGGAAATTGATTGAGATTGTGATGGTGCACAGTACTTGCCCCCTCCTCTTGGCCTCATTAAGCAATAATAATGGCCTTCATCCACTTGCAGCAAGTGGTTTATGTAAACCAGCAGGATGACTAACTACACTTTCACTAGTAGTACCTGAGAAGGTGTCATCACAAGGTAAGGAACACAAAACTATCTAATAGTTTATTCAAGCAGAATCACTAATCTGAAACTAGCTTCTTACTCCAAGTGAAATCATTGGTCACTGCAAAGACGGTTTTGCCTTTCTGAAATGAAGCTGGAGATTGCCTCTCTAGTTGGGAGGGCTGGTATTGCTCCCCGCTGTGTTACCGTGAGGGCAGCACAGGCATTAGCAAAGAAAAGTGCTTCTCTCAACCGCTTCTCGTCCTGCGCAAAATATATATCATTGACTGGTTTACTATTTTTTTGATTATTCTTATTACTAGGTCACACACCCGCCTACCTGGTAGAGGTTAATGTCTGAGGCTAAATGTGAGAGTAGCCCTCCCACAAATGAATCGCCAGCACCAGTTGTATCTACTGCTTTTACTGCAATGCTATTCACTCTTCCCTTAAATTGCTGTAAGAAAAATAACCCACAAAACATTAAGGCGATAAAATAAAATTAAAAATTCATTAGCATTTTCCTTTCTTTAACTAGCATTATCAGGGATCCAGAAGTAGCCCAAGTTTTCATGGAAAGTGGACAGAAAATATGTATTTAAAAAACATTCAAGTAATCAAAGTAAGTAACCATAGCTTAGAAATCACATTTTCTTCAGCAACAGTAAGCACAAAAAAGATCCATTTGAACCATACCTTAGTGTAATATCTGCAACCAGCAGAACCTTCTGTTACAATCAAAAGAAGCAGATTCGGATGAAAGAGCTTCTTTATGACCACATCATCATCATAAGGATCATCTCCTCCAGTAAGGAATGAAATTTCATCCTCGCTTATCTATAACATTACGAAAAAGGAGCAGTTAAGTCAAAGCATACCACTAATAATCTCTCCTTCTAGCGCATTCGATCATCACATACCTTTATGATGTCTGCTCGATCCCATATACTCATTATCCCACTGCGGGCAGCCTCTTCTGAAGGCCACAAAGGCAACCTTAAATTCGGATCATAAGAAAGTAGACAACCGGAATTTTTAGCAATGGCCATTGCAGCCAGATGGGTGGACCTGCATGGTTCGTCGATCAAACTGATTGAACCGTAGTGGAATATAGCAGACTTTTTTATAAGATCAATGTCAAGCTCTGATTCATGAAGAAGCATATCAGCACTTGGGTTTCTGAAGAAGAGAAACTCGCGTTCGCCCTCTGCAGTTAGAGTAACAAATGCAAGTGCAGTTCTAGCTTTGTGGTCAAACCTCACGCCTGAGTTGTCAACTTTGTGTTGTTTTAGTATACCATCCAACATACGCCCAAACTCATCGTCCCCCACCTTAAACAAAAAGTGGATATGTCAACCTTACATTTTCTCTCTCACTTATTTTTCAATTTTCCAGAATGTTAGTTCTCTATGGAACTAGTGAAAGAAAAAAAAGATAAGAAATGCTGCTTTCTTAGACTTGGTTTTACATTGTAAATTACGAAGGAAAATGAAATGTGATTATTCCCCCAACTTTCTTTTTACATACATTAAAATAAATATTAAGATTTCTTAGTCTTTATATACTAAGTACGAGTAGTATTTACAAATATATAAATGAACATCAACAAATATCTCAAATAAATTTATTGAGTTTCAGCCTATCTTTTATTTCGCTCACATTTTCTTCACTAAAATTTTACTCCATGTTTTCCTGCATGCTTTCTATCCAGTTTTAGGTTCGAAACCAATACCTTTATTTTGAAATTTTCTCAAAACCATTATCTATATATTATATGATGATGACATAAAAACTGGAAACTTTGAGCGATGAAATTCAATTAAAAACAGTAGTCATACATCATTTTTTGTTCGCATTTGTTTGATGCAAGACCACACACGAGAAAAAAGCTTTCCTAATTTTTTCCCTTTTTCATTTCAATGGCATATTGCCATTGAAATATACCCATAGTGATTTGGGAAGTAGGCAATTTCAAGAAACACAAAAAGAGAACCAACAGCATGTTCAAGAATGGAGACAGATAAATCACAGAAGGATCTGCGATTTTCAATGTGCTTTATTGGATCCTACCATCCTATCATGAAAGGAAAATAGAGTGAGAAATGCACCTTGCCAATAAATGCAGAAGAACCACCCAACTTTGAAATACAAACAGCAACATTAGCAGGTGCACCACCAGGGGCTTTTTGGAAGGCAGGAGCTTCGGCAAGGGAAACTCCACCGACAGTTGGAACAAAGTCAATCAACATTTCCCCAAAACATACAACTAGCTGTTGGTTTTTCTCTACTGGTTTTCCATTACTAGTTAAAGACAGGTTCTTCAAGTCTAAATACATAAAAAAATAGTTTAGCAAATCATAGAGAAGTGATTTGTAAACTGAATATATTATAAGATCTCTGAAGGCCCATGTAATACAAAAATGCTCTAAACACTTATGCATTACTGGTATTCCACCAAAAATGCTAACCTACCATCTACCAACATTTCTTTATCCCATGTATAAAAAATTAACAGAAGAATAGTGGACCTCTCGAAATGCAATGTTTGGGAAGGGATCTTGAATCTTCAATTTCTTGAACCATAATTGCATAACAGAGTCAATAATAACGGGATTGAAGTAACTAATTAACGCAACTCCTCAGGGTATCTTTATTTTGGGAGATGATAGTCAGAATTGAAAGATTAAGAACCATAACGCTAATAAAGACACATATAAACTGCAACAAGAAGAACAAGAATCCAGAAAGTTTCAATCTTGAACGAGTAGAAAAGATCCACGAACAGAACTACATAAATAAACTGGAATTTCAATTGAGCCCTGCCAATCTCAAGAAACCGCGATTTGAAGCTGGGAACTTGAGGATTTATACCAACCCACAACGGAGCGTGTTCGTGCATGCATTAATATTACCGAAAATCTATACAGTTCACGTTGAGGTACCTGAGATAGACGATTTCTCAGCCATGTTCCGATCAATATTGAGATTAAAGTGCCAAGACTCTGAAATATCCTCAAGAATTGAATGCCCAGAAACGATGACTCTGAAATATCCTCAAGAATTGAATGCCCAAAAACGAAATGCCACGGAGGAAGAACTGAAGAAGAGAAACAGATGAATACGAAATGTGAAGATGGAATCTTGAAGTCTGACCAAACCCGGGTTTGAAATACCTCCCAGCTTGATGGTATGTATCCAACAGGCAGCAGCCGTACGTGTTGTCACGTGGCGTCACCTTCCAAATATGCCCCTTTAGCGTCACTCTTCCTAAGAAATGTCAAAATAGTACGAAAGCTCAAGTTGTTATTAATTAATTATTTGATGGGATATGTCTAATAATTTTCGTGTGTACCGGTTGTATCTATCCTACGCCCATCACATTGGAAAACAATTGTCGTTTTTCTCTATCTCAATTCTTCGAATTATTTTAACGGTCCATCCAAATAGACTGAATTTAAGTCATTTGGTCCATTTTTTTTATGATCCAGATGTCGGTGTTCATGTTCCCCTAATTTTGAAGTATATGAACTACTCTCCAAAACCTTAGTACGTAGGGCGCCAGTATGACTTCCAAAGCCTGCCAGCCCGCAAAGCCCAGCTGCATCCAAGGGGTCTTCCTACCACACTAATCCGCAAAGCTGCATTATCATCCTCTCCTTCTTAGCCGCTGAGCAACTCCGTAAAGATACGAAAAATCATTGGGAGCAAGACATCCCTCATCTTCCCTTTGGTGCATAGCGAGTTTCGAAGACGAGACCTCACATATACACACGGTAACCTCACATATGTCATTTGGTCCTTCCTAATTCTTATTTTCAATAAGGCGGTTAACGAAGAGAGCTATTTTGAATTGTTTTGTTTTTGGAAATTTAACAGGCCGAGCTCAGTGAACTTCGAACTCGAGTACGCGCCTGATTTCAAGTTCTAAGACTTATTTGAACTGAACTTGAACATAGTAAAATTAGGCTCCATTGGAACTCGAGTCTACCGAACAGAGATACATTACACTTCATTCGTATATGTGTGAAAATTTAAACATCTTTGGTGTGGTTTTATATATTTAAATACAATTATTAACCAATTAAGTAGTTGTCGAAAAATTTGAGCATGGACCTATTCACGAGCATAAACTAACTTTCTACGTACACTCGGGCATATTTATCGAGTGCTCGGTTCCAACACCGGACATCAATCGAGCGGAGCTCGAGCTCGAATCATAATATTACTATTACCGAACTGATTTGAACTCGAGCTCTGGATGTTCGGATTCAACTCGTTAGTAACCCTAATCTTTTGCTTATCCGATATATGATAATTTTTATTAAACACATAATTTATGGTTCCAATTTCTAAATTGTATAATAGTAAAAAAAATAGAGTTGAATTTATATTTCTGACTGGACTCATTGAATTTGCTCAAAGAAACTTCTAGATACTTTAATACTAGTATATTTTTTATTTTAGTAATGAATTATATTTTGAATATAATTTCATCATTTATAATTAAGCATATTCACTCACTTCATTAAGAGTTTTACCAATTTTAGTAGATTTAGGCCATCTAGTAAACTTAGAGATCTTTTAGTAACACTGAAAATTGACTGAATAATGATGAAGTTCTAACTGAAGCGGCTGAATATGTAATGAATCAGCTTACAGATTTCTTAGTACAGTTCTTCTATAGAGCACCACTTTATCAATGTATAGCACATGTACGTGCATCATTAACAAAGCAAGCCTATTACTTCAAATATGAAACCTTTTATATTATACATAGTATAAAAAATCGAAAAATTTGACATTAATAACCCAACCTTTACTCGGTCTTCCCAAAACGGTCCCAATTATTACTAATCCAAAACAAAAACAACCTTTGTACCCTTTCTTCCTTCAACGGTCTCAGTCTAATATTTACCGGTTGTTAAAGTGTTTATTAAAAAATTACACTGGTTAAGGTTTCAAATAATACCCGCACATGCCTTCGACACCCTCATCTAACTTCTCCTTCGCACTTCCTCATACTTGCTAAGACCTCATCTAACTCCTTCTCCCTCATTTCAGTTTCTGGTTCACACAATCAATAGAATCCATGTCCGCCCAAGACATTCATTCGTACGGTGGTGAGTCTTGCTCGACGAAATCAAGCAAAGGAGTAAATCCAAGAGTGAAGTGTCATCACAACATCAATTCCCGTAAATGTGTTAATTTTTAATATTATGTGATTAGAAACATGCTAGAAAGAGATAGAGTTCATATTGAGGTACAGTTTAATAGTTAGTCAACAATAATCAAATAAGGGTAGCCCTTGTTGTTTTCTTAACATCAGGAGCTAGAAAAACCTGGTGTTCATGCTAGATGAGTAACCATAGCTTTTAAAAGTCTAGGAATAAGTGATAAGAAATTAATAGGGAAACTTTGTAATGGATTAGGAAAATCATGGGTTGTTTATGAACACATTTTGCCTAGAAATCTGGTTTTTCCTTGCAAAGTAACATAGCTGTTTAAAAGGAAAGTTATGGTAGAAGCAGCTCAGGGGACATTTTTATGACTTTTTGTGCACATGATTAATTATGTATTTCATCTTATTATTTGATTGATATTATGAAGTGTGTTTTGTCAAGATGACATCTTTGATTGGAAAGTAAAATTTGAGGATTTTGTATGTGTGTCAGGATGAAAGATACAATTTCTTCAAGTGGGAAGATGGAATTGAGGCAAAACCATCTCTTGAAGATGAAGAAGTCAACATAGTTTAGAAGCCACAAATCCAAATTGAGCTAGAATTTCAGAATAGGTTGCTAGAAGAACAGTTGAAGAAGTTGCAAGTGAAAAATAAAAATTTGAAAGAAGAAGTGCAAGAGATGAAAATTGAAGTTGAAGAAATGCGGATTGAATACTTCAAGTGTTTAGGGAATGAAAAGAAATATCGCATTTGTCTAATGTTGTCATGGGTTTTTTTCTTTTGCATATTTGTTCTTCAAATGAATATTGTGGTAGTTGGTTTCGTACCCTCTAGTATGTATAATAATATATTGGTCTAGACTTATCAATATGTTTTTTAGTATTGGTGTAGAGTTATGAATGTATATGTTTGGATATTGATTAATATATTGGTGTTCCCAAATTTGAAGTGCATACTGGTGCATAGATGTTTTTCGTTAGGTTGTTTTCACTCACACAACAGAGAGTGCATCTTTGTTGCATATTAATAGGTCTTCCTGCTATTGTCTTGAAGGTGATAAGGACATGTAATGTACACATACATTGAATTGTAATTACCCTCCTGTCCAACAATTGATTTTGGACTAGAAAGGTCAAAACAATACTTTCACTACTTGACCAGGCTGTTAGGCATGAAGATAAACAAGGTTGAGTTTGACAAACTTTGTGAAAAATGCCTGTAGTGCGAAGGTCCCACCGTCAAGTCAAGTTAAAGATACTCCAGTTTTTTGCACATGCCCATATTTTACTTGTATTTGAAGTAATTTGTTATCTCTAGATACATTTCCCACATGGTTATTAATGTTATTTAGGATGACAACCAAACATATATAAGGATGTTATGTACTAGTACATGAAGTTAGGTATATAACCCCATTACATTAGACAACCCTTTTGATCAGGTGCCTTGACTAGTAGCTATATGAGGGCAAAAAAAAGATGCATTTATGTGTTCTCATTCAATGTTTATTAGTCAGGATTGTATGGTTATACAGAAAGAAGATATCAGTTCTATTGAGCACATTAGAACATTGTCAGAAATCCCAAATGATGAAAGATTTCAGATATTTTTGCTTTCTTAACTTTTTTAGGGGTAATTGTTTAATTACCATTGAAGACTTGAAGGTTAGTACCTTTCAATTAACACAGTAAGATCAGGACTGATGACTCCAGCTCTTTTCTGGTACTCTGTATTTAGCTATTTGTGAGATCTCATGAATCATCTGTTATACTGCTGCACATGACTAGTATACAACTTGCTGGTGAATATTTCTTGTATACATGGCCTACTGGTGCATATTACTAATATACAACAAGTTAAGAAATATATGTATTGGTAGTTATACCAACTACTAGTTCTATGATGCTGCCAAGTTAATATATCAAATACGACTATTAAAGACTTAAATAAAGAGAACAATATAGATTGATAACAACAAGTGGTAACTACATAAACTGACCAAACATTACAACCACACTTTAGTGTTAAACCACAATCAAAATATAAGCCAAAATACATGTGGTATGTAGTACCAGATCCTCCGAATGGTTCAGAATATTACAAACCCATACAGCACAAAAATCATCTACCACGTTTAAATCACGTTTAATTCCCGAGTTAGATAATAAAACATGTACATATTAAACCACGTTTAATTCCCATATTTTTAAACCTAATTAGGCACATGAGATGAAACAGACTACATGTCCTTTTGTAGGGTTGGGTAATTTCTTTCTTCAAATCGATTGGCATATCCAACTGATTATTCATTGTCTAAAGCCCAATCGCATTACTCACAACTGACGGAAATGCAATAGAGAAAATGATCAGAAGAATAAAATGTAAAAAAGTACGGAGTAGAAAGACAAACGAAAACACAACGGAGGCTTAACGTAGAACTAACATCAGATAATTTAGGGGTATACTAGCAAAATAAGGGAAAGAGTGAACGCTTTCAAATAAGGGAGCCTCTTCGGTGCCTTCATATTGCAGGTTGTTTCGGTGCATCGTATGTGTGGCTATATACAATTGGAAATATATTCCACGTAATTCATTTAAAAATAATTGCATAGAAATCCCTATGCTCTATGCATTTTCATCATTTTGAAATCACTATTGTCACACATTCTCTCCCCTTCTCTCCATCCCATAACCACCTTCATCCTTGCTCTTACTAAATGCAAGATAATTCTACCGCCGATTCTTGAGTTTAATGAAGAAAACACATATTTGCAAAGTCGGGTTTCCTTATTTTTCTAACGATTCATTATTCGAAAACTTCATATTCGTCCTTCAACAATCGTCAACCTTGAGGACAACGGTGTTGAAGAAAATTCCCATCTCGATTACCTTTCTAGTACACCATAGATGGGGATTTCCAGTTCCTTTATACACCAGTGAAGATATTGTCAAGAGCTTGGCGACACACCGAGGCTGCA